TTCTCTTTGTCCCTCGCCCGAGACAGGATAAAAAAAACTTCTCTCTCTCAACTCCGTCATTTCAAATTGAAGGTTTCGATTTTCATAGGAACATGTACCAATACTACCGGATTTGGACGCCGCACTAGTGTTTGGTATTGAAGCCACTTATCTAGGGACTATCTAAGAAAGGAAACTATGCTCTCTGAGACCAAGGATTATAATAAACACTCATTGTAGAATAATCAGACTTGTCGATCGTGAATACTGAGAAACCTCTACAAAATGTATCAAGCACCCCATAGGACGCTGGCTCTGTGTTTAATAAAGCAAAAATTTTTTTAGGAATGCAAACAATGCCAATTACTATTCGTGAACAAACTTAATTAACAGCTGAACACAGAAGTGAAAATTGTTCAACCTAAGGCGGCCACTGAAACAGTAGAACACATGCAAAATGCGTGATTCGCACAAAAATAAGTTTTCTTCTTCTTTACGAAGTAAAAACATTGACATGAATAAAAAATCCTCAAAGGAAAGAAACACACTGAAAGCATAAAGCAGGACAAATAAGCCTCGATTTTATGTCATGAAAGACAGATAACATCATATCACCACGGACGGAACGTAATGACAGTTGAATTTGACAAATTAGCACGATTTTGGACGTTCCCTCCGATTTGGCAAAGGTCTATAAACGAATTCTGAAATTTTCCTCTGAATCTGGACTCTTCTGCCCAATTTTGGACGCCATCGTCCTGTTTCGAACACTTTCGTCCGATTTCGGAAGCCCCGATCTGATTTCGGGTACTTCCGATCCGAATTTGGACACTTCTGATTTCGAATCCTTCTATATCTCTTTAATACTGAATGGCTTACTTTCACCGTATTTTGATTGTAACTAGCCATAAACCAATGATAAGAATTGATTTGGCTTTCCTCGCGAAACGTTCCTAGTCCGCCGTAAATCTGACATTATTTTACAGTCAACAGCGCTCTCTCTCTTCCCGATTAAAGGGCACCTCGATTAAGCGCCCGGGATATACACTATGCACACCAATAGCTTTGTTGACATCACCGACGTTACGATCTTTAAGTCTAACAGTACATGTCGTTACATTTCATAAAACGAAGAAAAAAAGGGACATAGGGGAACTTTTGATAAACATAAAACGTGTGATTAGCTAGGAATTGTTCTCTGTCGTATGGAAATTGGAACCGACCCACTTGTAAAATATTAAACATCTTGATCCTTCTTGTGTCTTAGTTTTGCTCATTAGCCTCTTAGAAGCGTGGAGTTTGTGTGGACTTAAGCCCGTGTCCGCGCGCGACGCGTGACTCTCGCGATCGTCAAGTTCTCTAAGTATGTGCTGTTCACATACTACGTTTGTTCCCGACTCTCCTTCGCGTCATAACTAAAATCATAAAATCAGAGCCACATCCGCCTGTTATCTTTATTGTTGATGGTTAGGTTCATTTTAACGCAGCATTTTAAAGAATAGAGGGGCTGAACTAACAAATTTCACCAACCTTAAACCTCGTTTGTTTCGTGTCACCAGAGTACGATGGTTTCTTGTGTAAACTCCGTGTTCATTGTGAAACAGAATTGAGTTGCCGCTGCGACCATCAGATCCAACCAAAATAGTCTTTCTTCACCGACCATATCCACCGCGCCTTTCGACATATCGAAATATCAATTGCTTCCGTGCCACATCAACAAACAGTGCCAACAAAGAACTATCGCCGGACAGTTCCAAAGGCCATTTTACGTATGATGTGTCTCTCAGCGGATATCAGCTTTATTTTGATTGCGCTCCCATGAAATGCCAAACAAATCGCACACATGCTTTCCTGTGTTGTGTCTTCAGATGAACCAGACAAGGTTTTAATGCATTTTTTTGTCCAATCCCTTAATCCTGGAGTTCTGTTTCATGAATTTTTATGACCACACGCACATGTGTTGGGTAAAGTCGGCATAACACTTTTAATCATTAGTTTCCATCTTAATTCACCGGATTACTTGGCGTATATGGAGACACAATTTACAATTCAGATCATTTTCAGTAAAGAGCGATCCCTTTAAAATTTCATTTGATCTTAGAGCCACAGCAGACATGGACTAATTTGCCGGAAACTTTCTAAATGCTAATCTTCATTTCCTTTTAAAAGAAGACCCCTGCCTGTAAATTTTACTGATAAAAAAAATTAATTCATGTTTTCGAAGTTCAGATCACATCATGTTTTGCATTTAGTTTAACCCGAGCAATCAAATTTCATGTTTATCACAAATAAGAGAGTTTTGCCTTGCTACAAGAAGGTTACCATATTTGAAGTGATGTTTTTGAATCTTGTAAAGCTTTCAATGGGGAACTTTTAAAGAAAGTATACCTCTCAGGTGATTATTAACATTTCAAGCTTTTCCTGAAAATAAACCTTACGCATAGAGTTTAGAAAAAATTGTTTCCATACTTATTAAAACATGACAAGGAAAGAAAAGCAGCAGGGGTTGTTTTCGAATTGTTTAGACAGCATAACTTTGTGCCTCGAGTCATATGATACTCCTGCAATGTAGATTTTGTTATAAACACGCGCCCTATGTTTTAATGATGCATTAAAATTGGCCGTATGCAAAAAAATTTAACCTCTTTCTAATAGGCAGTATTTAAAAATTATCTCTGCTGGATGGTTAGCCCGATGTTTTATAAAAAATTTCAAAATGAAAAAAACTGTGTGAACTTGTGTGGCTGCAAAGGGGCCGCTGTGCGAAAGTCACTGTCCACCTAAACTCAGAAAATAGAACACGTGTGCGCCAAATCCTTCGCTTTGTTCCCAAAACCATGGTGTTAATGACCATAACAATTATTGTTTAAAAGTGAGACGCTGTGCTTTACAAAGGCGAAAAAATAGAGGAAAGTTCTAGTCAAACCAGACCGCAAAAGTTTGTCTTAAATGAGAACGTATTTGAAGAGTAAATAGTCCGATTTTTTTTCGAGGCATAATGGTCTATGTATGCATTTCGCATTAGCGTCAGTGCGCAACCGGTTCTAATTAGCACCAATGCGCCTACTAATAGTTCCATTTGATGGTTAATTATTGCTACACGCGTGCGATACAATGCTCTATTATTCCTGTTATCAAGCGTAAATACAAAGTATACAAGGTGTTTTTGAATACAAAAACAAGTAACTCTTTCTCTAAACTGCGTATCATGAAATTCATATCAAGGGGAAATTAATTCACAATCGCAGACCGGACGTGATGTGGGTAGCGTGTTTTTCTTTTTCTTTCTTTAAGACAGGTACTACCACTTGCTACTCTCTGATCGCAATGGGAAATGTAAAAATATATTTTACACAGCATTTTTTTCTCACAGTATTCATCTTGGCTTTGGGTAAGTCGTATTTTTCGTGCAAGATAGATTTCTGATTATTATTTTGTTACTAGACTATGGGTAGCTGGTCACACGGGTATCATAGAACACTCTCAAGTAACTTCGAAGAGTTTTTTAAAACCTTTTGGTCACAAAGAGAGAGTCTAAAGCTGACCTTTCGAGTTTTTTATTCTGATGTAATGTTTCGCTCTAACGAAGGGTAAACGTTCGAAACATCAGCTTCAAAAGCTCTTTACCGTGGACAATTTACATTATCTCATGTTCTCCCCACCGACGCAGCACCACAGCTTCTTGAAAAACTTACCCCTTTCATTTCTCTCGTCACAAGTTTATACCTGGGCCAAGGTTCGCTGGTTTTGTTAACTTCACAACAATTGTGAACAACATAGTATTCTAATATTTGTGTATAGGATAATCGATAAAATTGAGACAGCGGCAGTTAAAGTAACATTTATCATGCAGCTCTTAATTTGAATTAATCGTATGACTCCTGCCGCGCGGCACACAGGCCCCCCTCACGCAGCGCTATAGAAAACTTTAATGAGAGTTAAGGGGTGCAGGGTCGGACAAATTAACATGAGCCCGCGGGCCGGAAAAAGCCGCCCGGCCCTGAGCTTGGGACTAGCACAGCTCTGTTGCGTTTTCCAGGAAGACGAATTCTAATTGCACAGTTAGGCTTAAAATAGGAAAGAGATGAGAAAGCAGGAATTTTTCTTTTTCATTGCTGAATCTTTTTTGTGGTGCGCGTTCGCCTTAGACTCACCAGTCATACGCAAATACATATTTACTGAGTTTCGTCGAACTGGACGGGGAAATATTTGACGTATGGACCTTGTTGTGCTCGATTCGTATGTCACGACGTCCACGCTTGTCTGTAGGGGGGAGGGAGGGGGTTGGGGGTCGCACCCTTAAGTTCCTAATAATGAGAAATTTTAAGGGGGGGAGGGGTATGGAAAAAGCGGAGAGTATTTGGATTGTTGATTTCTTGACACGTACCGTTGTTTCTTAACCCTTTTACCCCTAAGAAAGACTAGCATCTAATTCCTTCTGATAACATCATCCCTGAATCACACATAAAGGTCACGAGAATAAAAGAAATGTTCACCAACTACACAAGCTCTTGATCATTATACAAATTCTCCTTAATAACCCCTTAGGAAATGTTTGGAAATCAGTGTGAAGAATATACATACTGATATTAGGGTGTAAATGGTTAATCATGTTAGCTGAGTCGCAATTTTTCCAACTAATTTACATCACACTGTTTTTTTTCCTGGTTAACTTTGAAGACATTACAACCACACTCTGCAGTCGCTCCTGTGTATCTTGTCGGAAATCTTTGGCACATTGTAACAAGACAACGGGTGTTTGTGAGAGCAACTGCGGTCGAACAAAACTCTGTAGAAGAGAAGACGACTTATGCCTCGCAACATGGCGTTGGAAAGGCCAAAAGCTGTTGATGTTCACAAGTTGTTTTCCGCTTCCCCCTTTTTCCAATTCCTCTCATTACCAAGCGAAGTGTGAGTCAAAGATATTAAACGGAACGAGAACTTGTTTGTGTCAGGGCAGCAACTGTAACAGAAATCCAACAGAGCCGGTCATAAAAAATATAAAACAAGTTTTCAGGAGAATGAAACCGAAAAATTTGCGACAAACACGTGAGTACAAGACTTTTCTTGAGATTATTTCTTTTAGCAAAGTTTTCTTTCTATTGAGTGTGAAATGGAGGGATAACTTATTAAACTAAAAAGCTCTCAAACAATATTTGGTTAGGGCAGTATTCAATTAATTGCCTGTCAAAAAACCAAAACCAAAGCTAAGTTATCACAATGACCAATCATAAAAAGGCTTACATCATCATTAGCCAATGAGCAATCAGAGTAAAAGCAGCCACAACTATCAAAATCGCGGGAAAACGCGGGTGACCAAATCACGATTAGTTTTCGTTTTGTGTCTGATTGGGTTTAGAGGATGGCGTGTATTTTGTAGAAAAACTGACTGAATTCATTAATCGAAAACAATCTCGGGTTACTTTCGACACTAAATTGAAAATTGCTTTATGATCCATAATTCTTTGAAGCGCTTACTGGAAAACAAAAATATATCTGGACCAGAGGTAGATTCAGTCACGGCTCCCTTAACTCCTTTTGTTTCTATGGCACAGAGACTTTAGAGGGGATGTCGTGGTATTAGTAGTATAAGGTGAGACGGCCATCTAACCATGAGATTTTGGCCTTTATTTAATGCATTTTGGAATCACTAGTGATTATTGCAATCTGATTGGCTCTCAGTAGGGCACATTTTTCTCGAATGGTGCTAAATAGCATCTTTTTCAGTTTAGCCTAAGAAAACGGTTGCTTAACAAATAGCCACCAGAATCTGATGTGAAGATGAGCACTTGTTTATCATTTCAGATTTACGCCCTCAGCCCTAAAATAATCTCACTTAGGTTTTTTTAATTTTTTTTTTATATTTAGGGAATCTTACTCATCCAAAAGTTTTATCAAGAAAGAAAGAGGAAAGAAAGCCAGAACCTGAGATACAAAAGAAATCAAGTAAAGACACCTCTACAATAACGTGGATCAGTGTCACTGCCGTGCTGATATCAGTTCTTATCGCAGGGCTGATAAATCGCCTTTGTAAATGCAACCATTCTGTGGATTCAAAGTTATCAGAGACGGTTGAAATTTCCTCTGTGACCGGACTGGATGCTCAAAGAACTATGACAGATGTTGGGAGAAAGGGGCTTGTAAGCTTAGAGAAAGTGTTGTCCCAAGGAAGATATTCTACTGTTTGGAAGGGTCGCATTAAAGAACAGCCTGTTGCTGTAAAGGTTTATCTAGAGGCAACCAAATTGTCCTGGCAGAAAGAGCGTGTCATCTACGAATTATTGTCTGGAGAACATCCAAATATTTCTAAGCTAATTTACAATGAATTTCTGGGAGGAAAAGATGAACCACTTTGGTTAGCCATAGATTATTGCGAGAATGGTTCACTTCGAGAATATCTGCTGAAGAAAACACTGAGTTGGAATGAAGCAATCTTCTTGGCTAGCGGTATAACCAACGGAGTTGCCTTTCTCCAATCGGAAAGCTTTCCCGATGGTCGCGCGAAAGTTGCTGTCGCCCATCGGGATTTAAAAAGCACGAACATTTTGGTGAGGAAAGATGGAACCAGCGTTATCTCCGACTTTGGCTTGGCTTTGTCTCTGGGTTGTATCGAAGATGAAAGCGAAAAGGTAGGGAGGTTTATTAAAGAGTGCCTGAAGGAGGAAGGAAGGGTGACTGGGGGTGCAGTGCGTTATGTTTGGGTAAAAGGACTCTCCCATAATTCCACGCGTAGTGTACCAACTACCAAAGCAATCTCTTACCCAGATCCTACCGTGCAACTGTAACCACTTGGCCATGGAAGGTCTGGGTACGAGACTACTTCAAAACCCTAACTAATGGCAATAAATATTATATTTTGTAGTTTTTGAGGAGAACGGAATGGAAAGGAGAGGGCTTATGGGCGAGAGACGGGAGGGTGGCTCAGATTTCAAGATGAGGGTCTCTTAGAGAGTTTATAGTACTTAAATTCGTCCTCAGGGCCTTCTTAGGAAAAAAGATGTACAATATCTTGTTATTCCTGCTAACTCAGAACAAATTGCTGCTCATCTGACTTTGACAGATGCAAGTTGGCACATACAGGTACATGTCCCCTGAGGAACTGTTAACCACGGTTGACTTGGACAGCACAGAAACCTTTAAACAAATGGATGTCTATTCTATGGCACTGGTGCTTTGGGAGATTGTTTCACGGTGCGCAGTTGCAGGTAAGGTAACTTTTCAAGCCTATGCTGAACATGCAAATTTTCTTTCCTAAATCGAAAAAAAAAAAAAAATTAAGAACGATGTTGTCTTCGGGCATTTTTGTCTCGTTCTCGATTTTCAAGATGGCGGTCTCGGGCGACGACCCAGCTCAGTGATTGGTACAGGTTGTGTTATCGGTCAGTAATCTGATTTCAGCACCAATCGTTACCTTTACAATTTCCTCAAATGTGATTGGTGCATTAGCTGCTTTATTTTTCCCTAATCATTCTGCACAGTTTTAATCGAACAGTGTTATCGGACAGTTGGCTGTAATCGGATACCTGTAATCGGACAGTTAAAGCAGCCAATCATATTAGGTCCATTCAATTTACTCCACCAATCACTGAATTGATCACAATAACCATAACAGCAACCACTTATCCTGAAAAAAAAAGGAAAAAAAGCCAGGGAATTTCCAAAATGGAGGAATTTTTTACCTAGGACATTGTCTCTACCGGAGATGTTTGTCCAGATGTATTTGTTTTGTTTGGAAATTGTAATAGTTGTGATTAATTGGTATCAGGACTTCGTGTCGTCCAATTCTGTCTGTAATCATACTTGTGATTGAAAAATCGGACTCCTGCTTCGCAGTTGTCTGATTTTGTTTATCGTTCGTATGATAACTGACCGAATTGGACTTCACTCAGTCCTATTGCCATTATTAAGTATTAGCGGTCGTCCGCTTTTTTTGTCACTCCTATGTTTGCAGACCAAATTGGACTCCACTTGGTCCTATTACCATTATTAATAAGATAGCGTGCAAGCCATGCTTGTAATTGGAAAATGTAGGCGGACATTTTAAGCGTCATGCCTGTGTGATTTGAAAGTTCGTGTTATTCGTTCTCGTTGTTTCGTCCAACTCTGTCCGTGATCATTCTCGTGAGTAGTAAGTAAGACTCCTGCCTCGCGGTCCTCCGAGCATGTGAATCACTCGTATAATTACAAACCGAGTTTGACTGCACGTGGTTCTTTTACTGTTATCGAAAAGAAAAGAAAATCTTGAGGTCCATTTTCTTTCAGATCATAACCCTGGTTCCTATAAGCTACCGTTTGGGGAAGTGGTTGATTGCGATGCAACATTGAGTGTTATGGTTGAAGTTGTTGCCCTAAAGCAGTGCAGGCCACAATTTCCATGCACTAGCCACGAGGTAAGGTTTGATCACAGAATATAATATTACTCTCTAACAATGTTTGTATGATAAGCTGATTTTGTACACACGAATTTTTCGATTGGTTTTTTACTCATGATCTGTTAGAAGACAGAGGCGTAGATGACGTCATCATTGACAACATTTTGCATTTTCATCATTTAAAACAAGTAGATTCCATTTTGACGTGTGTCTGTACAGTTATAGATGATTGAGGGACGTCAAAATGTGGCAAGCACATCGGTGATACACGCGGCTACCCCATTCTGCGCCCCTTTTTAGGTTCTGACCATATTTTGACGTCTGCACCGATCTATTACTTAACGGACGCACGGCAACATGGAATCTATTTGTTAATTATTCAGTGGACTGAATATTATGCCAGTTCTGATTGGTCACTTCCCGTGATCTATTATAGTAAATACGGATGACTTTCGTTATACAATTAAAACTGTTTTCTTTGCTTTGAACAACATGGAAAGGAAAGACTTTGAAAAAAAAAAAAAAACAAAACAATTAATAACTGAGAGTACATGTAGCGTTCGATCAATTTAAAGATCAAGGTAAAGAAACCCAATTCTTCCTCTTTGAATTATTACTACCGCTATGGGGCAAATTTGAATTTTTTACAAATAATTCTCTTGGTGTGTCATTTTTTGTTAACTGTCGACCACATTTTGGTGCCATCTTTTACATATAGCAGAATGACATTTTCTTCTTTCGTTTTTCATCACTTTGGATTAAAGACAGATCATAGTGTCAAAATTCACCAGCACTATCACCCTCCCCTACCCAATAATTTGCTTTTTGACTGTTCCCTCCCGGTCTCCCTCTGCCAAATAAGATCATGAAATTTTTATAAAATCGTACCGCTCTGGTATCAGTTAGAACTTGGCCGGAAGTCCTTCATCATTTGTAAATGATAAAACAATCGTAGTTACTGATAATTTATTTTCTTTCAATTACATAGGGATTAAAAGCGTTCTGTCAGACAGTACAAGAATGTTGGGATCCAGACCCCGAGGCTCGTCTCACGGCAGACTGTGCTCTTATGAGACTCAAGGAACTGCTGACGATGGCACATGCGCCGTGATGAAGGTTGTGATGAACCTGAAACGTTCGGGCGAGCCCAATTTTGCTCCTGGACAAGTGCAGCCCTATTAAGACTTTGTAGAACCTTTACTTAGCCAATAACACAAGATTTCCCCGCCAGATTGCGGCACACAGAAGTTTTGCAGGTCTGCAAGGCGTACAAACAGTTGATAAATGTGAATAATAGATTAATGATTCGATTGCATAAAACGATCGAACCAAACTAAATAAGTTGAAGTGTCTAAAAGATAAATGTGGATGTATTCGAAACAAAGACCATAACTTGTGGCCACAAGGTGTTGCTTGACTTTAAAGGGCTGACCAAGAACGAATTTTGAGAACAAAAAGGAAATTAAGGAATCGTACCTTCTAGAAAAAAACATGCGCGACCCATTTTAGAGTGGCTTGCGAGCTGGTCTTCATTCTTAGCGCTTCGGCACGGGCGCTTCTTTGAAAATATAAAGCCTTCTGCTACGCGGGCCGGGCCGGCGAGAGGTTTGCAAGGGGTATGGGTTCCAGCACTAATGTTTATCAGCCCCAGATCCCCCGCTAACCTCTACCGAACTCTGATGACTCGTTCCAAATCTTCCCGTAGGCGGAGAAAGGCGTGTCCTGCAGCGCTAATGAGAGCCTCCTCGCAAACAACTTCTGCACTTACGCAAAACAAGTCACGCAAGCCAGCGCAGACTTCCGATAGCTACAAGAAAGTTGTCATCCTAGTAACAGCACACTCTTTCTCGATATTTTCTGTCCCTAATATTATGTCAAACGAATCTCCAATTCCGGAAATGTTAAGGATTGCTCAGGTAACGAACTGGAATGAGAAAAATGTGATCACATCGAAGTTAACCTCAAATTAAACTCTGCTCAGGGCGAGTGAAAGAGTAGAGAAACATCGATTCCATTGCAGAGTCATTTTAGCAAGATAAAACGCCTTTCACCGATCAGTATAAAGGAATTTTAACGACACAGTTCACAAGCTCACAAACGCAGTTTCATCGCGTGATTAAATAACGTTCAAACACGTGAAGTTAGAGACACCTCGACAACTAATGTACATTAAGAGCACATTGGTGCAACGCATCCGGTATGAATACAGTAATGTTCAGTCTGTTTACACGAAAAGTTTTAAAATTTCCCAATACCTATCACTCCGTTCTTGATCATCTCCTTTCGTGACAAAGAGATCATTCAGATTGAAAAGTATCTCAATTTTAACTGACCCTTGACATTGCGTGTACCCAGTTTCAAAGCACGCAATTGTTCGACATAGAGGATTTTCTGTATCTCTGTATCTCTCGTGTCACGAGCTAAGCCACAAAAACAATACATCATTCAGAGGCTGCTGTAGCAGACATTTGATCGCCGCATGAATGCGCCTCACAATTCCTTCACCGAGCCCGCAGATTCTGTTTCACCAGCAGACAGGTTTCACTAGGTGAAGTTCGTCTTTTCCGAAAGTTACGAGTCTTTGTCGGGCTCTTCGCTGGTGTGTTATGCAGTAAACGAGCAATTTGCACCGCGAAGGAATCCTCTGGGAGATCTGTCTGTCAAACATGGTCTCTAAAAGCAACCTGTCGTTGATTCTGCATTTCCTCCTCATAGTGTGTCTTCTAAACGATGTGGACGCCCAAACAACCGCTCCTGGAGGCGAAGAAGAAGGAGGAGGAGAAGGAGAAGGAAATGGAGGAAAAGAAGGTAAGGGTTAGCCGGTTTAATAAACAACATTTGCTGGGAATTACGACAGTATGCATCTTCGTAGATACACAGCTCTTTGCATGCACATCACATTTCTGCGACTTAAACATTTAGCGAGTGTCTGAAATGCCATGAAATGGTTGACCTTCGCAATTATCACTTAGATTGTTAAAAACTAAGAGAATATTTTTTGTTTAACCACTGCTAGTTACATTAAAAACCCTACAAGACAAGGAGGACAATTATGAGAGTGAATTATGGAAACTTCACCAAATTTACCTATTTTACAAATGTAATTATGCAATGCGGAAAGTTTCGCACTCAAAGGCTGCTTTTATTAAAACAAAAATCTATTGAGGAATTTTGATTATGGATTCTGCAGCTTCGACAATAAAAGCTGAAATGGAAGGGATAAATATGCTTTCTGAAGGTTTTTTTAAGTGCAGAATGCATTTCTTTGGGAGGTTTTTCTGTTAGCTTATTTCAAGCGCGAGTACAAATGAAGAAACAAAAGGCATTGTTGGGTTGGATACATTATAATTGCCGTCTCTGTCGCCGAAAGGTTCCATGATTAGTTGTAAACAGTGAATAGGGTTCAAATAATAAACATTGAGACGAAATTGAGACCAGTATTTAGACAACAGACGGTTAAACGAATGTAAAGTTCATAACTTCAATGCCAAGTTATGTATCAAAGAGCTAATATGTTAAATCCAACTCACGCAATCGATAGAAAAATTATCACGAAAGAATATAGTCAAGTGCAAGATTCGATCGCTACGAATTCAAAGCGAGATGCTGAAAATTCTACCCGCTAGGGATTGTTTCTTAACAGTTTTCAAAGCCTTTTAGGTTCACAAAGAATGCGAATAAATATTCTCAATCCAAAACGGTCAATTGATACGTGTAGCAGGCGGCAATGGTTTGCGTCCAGCAGTTTTAACAATAGAGCATTTTCTGCAAACTGTCTCCTTAAAATAATACTCACTATACATCTATAAGTTACCGCGACGAGAATTATACCAGCAAATAACAAGCCGAAATTCATTTGCTTAGGGTTAATCTTACGACGTTATTTCAGTCAGGTGTTTTTTCAGCCAGAAAAAATTTCCAGCTAGGAAAATACAGACAGAAGGCTGTTATATTCATGAATCCTTGTTTTACAAAAGTTTGTGAAGACGAGCAATTTCGTAATGTCGTTTCCCGATTATGTGAGTTCCAGTGATTTGAAATTCTTTTTTAATTTGTGCTACGTACTTTCGCAATATGGGTTTGTTTTTCTTTTTGATCGATTTTTAAGTTTGGTTCACAAATTTCGAGAAAGGAGTATTGTTCTAGTACTGGTTTAATTGTGTTACATCAGAATCATGGATTCCTGTCGCCAACAAAAACTGAGAACAGCGCGTCCCTGGTAAAAAAAAAAAACACTCGCTGCGCCTACATATTTCTAAATTTTTTAGAATAAAGTAAAAACCTCACATTACTTTTAAAACCTATTTCAATCCAATTTCGTCTAAAAAAAAGCTGTATTTGCAGAAATATTTGCCTCACAGGGGTTGTTGGCTATAAAACTTATAAACCCATGAATACGAGAAAAGTTAAAACAATTATTGATAGTTTAAAGTTCAGTACATCTATACTATAAGAATGCAAAAAACAATTCTGGTTTTCTAGACACCAGTCCGTCATTGAACGGTGGAAATTGAGATTTATCTAAGAGAGGGAAGTGCAAAAGCCAGTATTTATAGTTTTCCAATCAGAAGTCACACTTTTTATTGATTAAATTCTGTTAAAATAAGGTGATGTGAATAAGTGTTGAACGAAAAAGTAACTCAACTGTATGAGAACTCTCCTATATCAACACATTCGTTAACATACTCGTTACACTTGTTTCTAAACGATCCCAGTTTTCTTCAGAGTCCTCAAGAATTTCCAGTCTGTATATGAATATTGTAATCAACTGATTAAAGACGAATCATTCCCAGACAACCGTTCACTACGTGTAGACAAAGGGCCAAGTGACATGTTGTTTTTAAATATTGTTCACTTCTGCTCCTTCCAGCTTTTCCATTCGTTTCACTCTCACCATTATGGTAACTTTCAAATGATTGTATCATTTTATTCAAGCACAAATTATGAGACATCTTCTGGTGACAAAAAACTTTGTCTTTCCAAAAATACTTAATTTAAATGGTTCAAAAGAGAAATCTTTCGTAAAATCGCAATATTTGAATAAAGCGGAATAAAGCTTATTTGCCACCCTCAGAATCTCGAAACAAACGTGTCGCGAAAATTTAACAGAAACAGCTATTTTATATTTCACGTGGATTATGTTTCTTTTCGTACGTGAGTTTTAATAGTATCCTGCTTATTTAATTCTGCAGGACTTCGTTGTTTCTTGCGCACCGAAAAAACTTTTACACAACTCATTCTCGTCAAAATCAGCCATGGCTCCTTAATGTTTTTCAACGAAAGATATCACAGACCACTATGAGCCGAACTTTTCTTGGTAACCAGAATTAATCCTTTAAACGTTAAGAGTGACTAGCATCTAATTTCTCCATGTGATATCTCCCATAAATCACACTTTGAGTTTACAAGAATAAAAGAAATAATCACCAACTAAAGAAGGTCTTGATTGTTATAAAAATTCTCCCTGTTAGCAGTTTATGAGAGCTATGGAGAACAGTATGGAGAATATGCATACTGATGTAGCGGAATGGGTTAGGTTAGCCAAGAACTTTGTGTCCTGTCTGCATGGGAAATTTGCCCCTGGCTAAGGAATCGCAATTTCTGCCTGGCAACTGTCTTAAAAGAAATGGCAGCTCTCTAAGCATGTTGAATGAGGCGCTTTCAAATTTATTCTGTAGCAACAGAGACGTCGCCAGGATTTTTCAAAGAGGTGGGAGGGGAGGTTTATGGTCAAGAGTGAATTCCACACATCTTTCTTGAACTGGGTCATACCGCTTCTCTTCGTATAGCGTATTTTGCAAAGTGTAAGATTTTTTTGTAACTGAATCAAGAAAAATTTATCGTACCGGGGGGAAAGGGATTTGGGACATATCAAGACCCCCTACCCCTGATCAATGCTCATGTGGGAAGTTACCAGCCTACCTTCTAATGCAATGATGTTGAAAGTTTTAAAAGAAGAGAATGACGAGGTTGCACACCTTGGCAAGCAGACAATTTAAAGGCTGGATGGAAAATCCTATCCAGGGGGATGGGGAATACTTCTGCGAGCTTCATGCGACAAAAACCAGGATAAGCTCTGGCTAAATAGGCGACTCAACTCGCTGATCCCCC